GTGTATAAATTATAGTTTAATCAAAACTTTGAATAACAAAATACATAATAAAATAGAAATACAGAAGATATACATAATACAATAATTCTTAAGCCTTGTTTAGGGAGGCGTCAAGCGTTTTTCCGTTTATGGATCCACCGTTATATGATTACTGACCTTTAAATAAAACTAATTTATTATAAAAATTTCTGACCTTATCAGTTTTTTCTGAAAGCTTTTTAGTTGCATAATGAATACGAACTTTGAAATATTTCAAACTAATAGCCTTAATTAAGAGCGAATAGTGACAGTCAAGGAAAGTTTGGCTGTTAAAATGTGATATTTTAAAAAAGAATGTTAAGCCCAAACAACGTCTAAGACTTTCTTGCATGAGCACAATAAGAACATTTTTTTTATTTAGACCTCGATTTTTACGAAATATTATCTCACAAATTTCACAAATTTTTACAACATCTTTTGAGGGGTAACATAATCCACCTTTGTCTTTTTGTAACTGTAGACTAGCATATTTAGTATCTGATATAATAGCAGACACACATTCCTCGCACGAAAGCTCTTTTTTCAGTTTGCTTACGACAAATCCAGCAATATATACTATAACATGTTTAGAAAATTCCGTCAATAGACTTGGATCAGTTAAGTAATCGTGATCCTTCATTAAAACTTCATCAAAATATTCTGAATTACTACTTTCGGCGACATTATCAATCATTATATTTTTTTCTGACGTTTTGTTAATTGCTATTTCTGGTTTGGTCAATGTTAAAATATTTATATGTTGTAACGGTATACAATTTCCTGACGTAATGTGTTTCATTTCCCCATGAACTAACATTCTTTTAAATGCCGACTTTAATTGTCTAGCAGAAGGGTTGTTGTTAAACCCTCCTTTGGCTCTAATGGCACTAAAAAAATACTCCAAGTGATCTTGACTTAGTTTGTAAGTGCTTAAAAACTGAAGGTTATTATTTATCACTTGAGTTTCGTACAAATTAATTACACTTTTAATACAAATTAGAAAGCCTAAAAATCCGGTTTTTCTATTTGAAGACATTATATTTTTGTCTCCTAATTTTAAATTGTTCAAATATAAAATCATTTCATCTAAAAATGGCTTGATGTGCGAAAAATTATTGACAGATAGTGGTTTTTTGTATGAATATGCTTTCAGATTCCTTGAATTCATTACGTCAAATAGATTATTAATTTTTTGAATAAAATCAACAGTACCAGCAGAGTTCTTAAATTCGTCAATATTGAGTTCTATATTACAAAATTGAATAGCATTTGCAACGGATTCACTCATTACTTGGGCTGCCAACTTGACCTTCATGATTTGTTTGTAAAAATTTATGTGTGATTTATTTAATTTGTTACCTAAATGCAAACCTTCGTTGTCTTGGAGCTCTACCAGTAATTTTACGTATTCCCATGACACAACACGACCTTGTGAGTCTGTTATTGGACCCTTTAGGAATACCTTAGGAGTCCTAAGGTATTCCTAACTAACTTCAGCATGTGTGAAGGGTCGGGAAATATTACAATATTATTATTGCCGACGGTGAAGGAAGGATCAATGTTATCACCGTCTAATTTACAGCCTAAAACTTTGGCCATAGAAAAATTTGTCGGGCATCCATCGAAAGTTAGTGAGATAATTTCAATACCGCAATCCTGAGTTAATATTTCGATACAATTTTTTACTAAACTGGCCTTTTGTTCAGCGCTTATCCCATCGATTAAAACATATCCTAAAGGTATTTTCCAGGATCCATTTACACACGTTAGCATAAAAATTAACGCATCTTTAGCTAATTGATCGTTATTAACGTTATTTCCAAAATTAACAAATCCTATGCAATCTTTGCCATCAAAATCTAAACCTTTTCTAATTGCCATTTCATCAAAACTTAGGGCGCATATTGTTTTGTGTGACGTGTTTTTTTTTTGTATTTATTTCATGTAAAAATTTGACAGCTTTTATAGATTCTGTGGAAAAACCAGGATTTCCATCGATGCATTGGTACCATCGCGATAGTGTACGCGGATGAGGTAAGCAAGTTTTAAATTGTTTCCTAACAAAGCTGTAAGCTTTGGGACTGATGTAGTGGAGACTTAAGGCAAATTTCCGCAGTTCAGGCGAGTATTTCCGTTCAGCTATTTTTTACACAAAAACCTTTTTAAGAAATCTCGATTGGTTGCATCGATCGAAGACAGCAGGTCAGCAGCTTCCTGGTTGATTAATGAACGAGTTTTAATTCCTCAATTATAGTAGATTGTTCAGCAGTTTTCTTTTGCAAACGCCAGGTCTTAGATCTTAAAGCTGCTAATTTTTTCCTTCTATTATCACTTAATATGGTCTTCTTTTTCAATTTGCTAATTAACTTCTTTTTACGAGGAGTCATCTCAAGTTCCGGCGCTGCCACTATAGGTAATATTTCTTGCGTCTGAAATATAACAAAAAATATGTCTGACAACAAATACTTATTTACAACTACCTTAAATATTAAATATGATAAAATATCTCTACATCTTTAACGATTTAAATCACATGGTAACGTAATGTTTAAGTAGATAAACGGCTACACATACACAGCTAAAACAGCAGGAATTGCGCAGTATAAGATTTACAAGATTTAGTTTCCATAATAAAGACTGAACAAGAATAAACTCACCATAGTACTTTCTATTTCTACTCCATAGCAACTTCTAATGGTAAAGATAGGTGACCATGACTATCCGTAATGGATGAACCGTCAAGCTGAAAAATATGATTATAGTTTTAAATTTGTAATATTTATCACCCAAATAAATAAGTACCTATACATAAAATACTGAATATACGACTTTTAGATTTAAAAAAAAAACATTTTAATAAGTAAGTACCAAATAATCCTTTGCTTGCACATCAACCCCCAAAGTATCACATTTAGAGGTACTCGGTTGATCTAAAGCCGGTTGGACCTGAAATTTGAAACAAAAAGGACACGAATGTCCGATTAACTGCTAAAATAATCAATAATTAATGTTTTTTCAAATAAGTTAGTTTTACAGTATCTGCTTTACGTCGTTTGGTAGCTTAATAATCTATCTATACATATAAATAAAATTGGAGCGTCTTTTTGTAATATTGAAATAACTGAACTAATATTGAATAAACTTTTTACTACCTGCACATGAATATATATACGGTAAATAAACCAAGATATCATTTTTACAATTTTTGTCTGCTTGTCCGGGCTAATCTCTGAAATAGCTGGACCGATTTTGACGGGATTTTTTGTTGGCAGATAGCTGATTAATAAGGAGTAACATAGGCCACTTTCATTTTAGAAAATATAAATTAAAAATCCTGTAGTCCACGCTAACAAGGTTGCGGGCACAGTTAGTTAGGTTTATGTATATTCCATTTAAATTAATTCCATGTAGCTCAACTTTCCATTATACATTTCTTAGACTATAATTAATACATGAAGTTCATAATTCATTAAATTACTATTAATATATATTCCATGTAATAATAATATTAAAAAAGTCATCAGTAATAACAACAAATAATGTTTAAAATATTATTTCTGTGTCACAAGAAATAAAGTCACAACAAATGTTTAAGTATCAAAGTTAATTAGGTATACGTGTAAATCAAATTGTGGTGTATAATAAATTTACTTTACCTGAATGAAAAGAGTCGGTATCGAAAGAGGATTTAAGTGAGTACTATTTAATTTCTGTCGAATGCAACTAGCTTCAAAATGTCGGGAGCAGATTCGGGAGTGACGACTTGGATGCCAGTTAATTCGACCCGTGCACTCAGTCCACTTTTTTCTTAAAATTGGTTCATTCGGAAATCTAAAAGAAAAGTAAAAATTAAATGTGAGGTAAATATAATTAAGTGCTGGTATCCCTGTCAAGGTATTATCCGACTATTAACAAATGACACGTAGTAACATAGATAACAACCTAACATAAAATGTCTCCCACTTTGGTCGGTTAGTACAAAAATCAAGTTAGGAATTTATTGTATTTTTAGATGAAATTATCAATAAATTTCGCTTAATATTGACACAAAATTGTCTTGAGTACAATATTTCTTTGATTTATTGGCTGTAATAGGTAAAAAATGCTACTTACCGATGAAAGGTTATGTTTGGCAGATTTCGTTCACTACGACTTTTACAGCCATTTATACAGCAATTCACCATCACTAGACACTAAATATTACCTTCTAAAATATCAATAAAGTCACAAATTACACAAAGTATGCGTTTCACAGTTTTTAACAACGAAAATATCTTGACACCACAGTTTGTTTGCCATCAATGACCAGTGATGCCAAACAACAAAAACCGATACGCAAATAGAGACAAAAAATTTATGCTATGTCCTGCTCACACATACACATTTTGCTAATCTGTCATCTCACCCTTGCAATTATTATTATTCAAAGAGCATGTCTACCTCTATTCTCTGTCTACGGTACCAGCGTATTGTTACTTTAGAAAAAACTAACTTGTCTTGCAAACTACTATTTACCTACGTCCTTATTTTTAACAAAATATCCAGAAGATGTAAAGTCGTGGTTATAACAAAAATATCATTGAAATAAGTAAAAGTCGTTAATGAAAAGAAGGAAAGCTATTTCAATTTTTTTTTATATTTACGATTGGCGACACTATTTGTTAGACGTCAGTGTACTGTCTGTACTGTCAAAGTAATAATGTAAAACGTCAACGTCATTGTCAACATCTTCCGTAGATATTTGGATAGAGCAGGACGTATTTCATTATAAAAGTGCATATTGAACTCTATGAAATAAATCCAGGTGCCCTTTGCGCAGCTGCGTAATCTGCAGAGAAAATCAATGACTATTTATTTGTGTAAAACGTTGATTATTAAGATGGCGTGCATCGCTTATCAGTGAATGTGTACTTTGTTACTTGACTGAATTATTTGTGCGTATCAAGTCCAGTTGTTAGTGCAGTGTTGATTACAAAACTACGATGAGTGAACCGATGAATAATTTTAACTACGGCAGTAATATGCAGCCAGGCAGCATGCCAATGCCAAGCAATATGGGCTTGCCACCGCATGATCCAGGATTTCATTACGTACCTGCAGGAATGCATCAAGTGTCTGGAGTTCAGGCAAATCAGCCTCCTCCGGTACCACCCAGAATAGACCTGAACCAAGCCCTCGCTCAACCGTCCTACGGCAATCAAATGGGCACCTATGGTGGCATGGGATCTATGGGTGGGATGGGAGCTTATGGAGGAATGGGATCTTATGGTGGGATTGGATCCTATGGAGGAATGGGTATGGGAATGGGAGGATATGGCGGGTATGGAGGACTAGGTGGTTATGGAATGGGAGGAATGGGGGGTATGTATGGGGGCTACAACCGATTCATGGACAACTATGAAACAAGGTAATTATTCTATTCTTTCTTTCTTATTAACAAAATTTATTTAACACTTCATTCAATCTAGTACCTCAATTGTAATATGAAACTTAATCCCTTTCAAAATAAATAGCTATTTCCTAAGTAATGTATTCATTCAAATCTAAATAACAAGGAAAAAGTATCATACCTTAAATAATTTGAATATTGAAAATAGAATCTTAGTTTAATCTGTCAAACACCAAGCGGTCACCGGTGACCGCGACCTATTGTTCTTTAATTGTGTCTATAAAACCGGTATTCGACGAGTTAATTAAAAAAAAAAAATTATGAAAATCAACTAAACATCAGTCTGAATAAAGTAAAAAAGAAAAAAAATATTATGTTCCATTATTATGACTGACGGTGAACATAAAGATAGCAGTGACTACTGAAATAACTGAGGATGCCAATAGCACATTTCAGATTTGATCACTAACTTTGAGTTGACATTATCTGATTTAAATGTTAACAACCAATTTGAATGCCTGAGATATCTCTTGATTTTGCTACCGATGCAAGGCATGAATCTTCTTGAATGAACTTTCTTCGTCATACCCAAGCTACTTGATGTTGATGCAATATTTCATTTACCCATTGTCCGTTTTCAAATGTCATCTCATTTAAAAATGTTAGCCATCATGCCATCAATATTTATTTTATCACTTGACATTTATACATTTATCATTACATGTTCATGCAAATAAAAAAAAACAAAAAGTGCAAGAGCGAATCGCCTTTCAGCTTCTGTGCTAGCTATGTTACTTTCTGGCTTCTACTGATTGTATCATATACTATGTAGTTCCTTTAGTAACCTATGCTAGTTAAGCTTACTTATGTATATGTAGAATAAAATCCGAAATCAGATCATGTCAAAACGGTATATAGCCAAGCTAATTAAAAATATAAAAAAAAACTAAGAATGCCCTACGTCAAAGAAAAAAAATAAAATGACGGTGTACTGGTCACATAGCCAAACTGATAGACGAATGGACTTGCAGGCTACCTACTCTGAAAGGTCTACTTGATCCTTGTAAGAGAAACCGAATGATGTTCGAAGATTATGTTAAAGCAGCAAACATGATGGAGGCAGCAAAACATAACCGAAGTCCTTGGAAGTTGATAGATGACGACCCTACTGGCGATAAATTGGGGTTCTTAATAGCATAGTCAACTTAATTGTTTTAGTAGTTAATTAGGTCCTTGAATAAGCTCTGTTTCTTAAGCAGTATGCTATTTTACAAGCTATTATTTACAGTTAAAATGGTAAATTGTAATATGAAATCTGCAATTGAAGCTCATATGCGAAATTGTGTGAAGTTTAATTGAGACTTGCAATGACAATCGTCATTAGACTTAACACACAAATTCTCTTTGTCAATAATTACCACTTTTTTATTAAGTGATACATTCCGATAATAACAAAGAATAGAGATAAAGAATACATAATTATATGAAAATGTATTGTAAAACAAAATTTACACATTTTGTCCAAAAACAATACTGGGACAAAGAAGTATGACAATAATAAAATTGGCAGAAATAAAGTTTCTATGGAGAAGTGTAAGACTCGAATATTTCATATAATATGAATTACATAGAAATAAAAGATCACACACATGCCTACGCCCTTGACACACATAACGTAAGACTTAAAATATATGTTTTTTCGCAAAAAGAAATCGAAACATCTTTGGTCAACCAATTGATAAATATTACTTTAATGAAAGGCTTGATCATCCACTGATCTCTAATTAAAAAAAATATCATGCTGCATCAAAAGATACGGAGAGCTTAAAAGCATAAAGTTTAAAACTAAAATGAAAATATTTTATGCAGATTGTTAACAAATAGCAAGAATTTATTCAAGGTCCTATAGTTTTAATCATTTGACCGCCACAGTCAAGTGCAAATCAAAATGTGCTCAACACATTACGATCGCGACAACGTCATAGTATTTTAAAACGTCAAAAATTACCATTCTTTTAATTATTTCCTTTGTTAATTATGCCTCGACTTGTAGGTACTAATTCATAATTATGAAGTCAAAGACTTTCTTTCTATTGCATCGAATAGTAGTCAGTTGAGTATCGCAAAAGGACTAAACATAATTCCGTCCACACTGGAGTTTTGGGCTTGGCGCTTTTGACGTGGCGGTCAAAAGCATAACAAATAAATACGCCTTTTCATGAATGTACCAATTTTTTTGTTATATTTGTTAGTTAAAATATAAGGCTTGTTATGTTTTGTTTTTCTTTTATTTTTCACCATTAGCGTTATGCAGGCTTACTTTTTTGGCTATGACTATTACTAAGATAAAAACTAGTACTATAAAAACCATATTTCAAATAGAGGTAAATAAGAATAGCTTGTAAAAGCTAGTAGATCACTCCTGTTTATCTGATGGCCTTTTTTAAAAAACCATATCTAGACAAAAACAATAAGAACCTGCCTAACTATATTAAATAAAATACACTCGAAATAAACCAAAATTATGAATTGGCTGCAGTCATTCAAAATTTCTAATTGGCGTGACCGAGATAAATAGGGATTCATATTTGTATTATACTTACACTACATAAAAAACATCATTAAATTGGCATTGTATATTATAATTATGAAATTATATTTTTTTAGAACTGCATTGTGTCATTTTATGCAATAGGGATGATGACAGGTCCGTCAGTTAGGTAATGAAAAAATATTAGACACGTATTTTTTTATTTTGTCGCATAATAATAAAACGTCTAAAAATATCGCTAAAACGTCATTTCTACGTATAAAATGTACATAGAAGTGACGTCACGCGACACTTCAAATCAATATATCGTCGAAAGTATTCCTTTCTGTAAAAATATAGAAAATAAAATACGTGTCTAATGTTTTAAAATAATCTACCAGACGGACATTAAAATAAAAATTAGTCACCTAACCTATTCACCATTGCACACATTTTGCGATACACAATACTTACAGAATTTTGTCCTTCAATAACCTGAGGTAACCAAATTAATAATTACAATTACAGCGAAGCGACTTAGCGTCACTAAAATTGGTTTGAATAAGTAGTTTTCTTTTTATTTTATAAATAGGTACTATTACAATATTTTTTCATCTTCAGCCACAAATGTTTATTTTTATTGTTTAGTGCAACACAAATTCTCTGACAAATACTTCTTTATGGATTGAAGTAATTAAATAATTTCATTTCAAACCCCAATTTTTCTTTCATTGACATTTTAATTTAGCTTTTTTGGTACCTATTTTGTTTTTATTTTTATGTGTTAATTTAATTCATGTGTTGTTTCAATATAAATAGTTTGTAATTTCGTACGTCTAAGTTCTGTCTCCATGTGTCCTACCTCAGTGTGTCCATAAGTGCAAAACATTTAGAATGAAACAAAAAAAAGTATGAATTGGGATGTGTCCTCAGTACAACAAAATTTTTGCCCACCTTTAAATCCATAAAAATATTTAAAAATACAATTATTTTCGTTATTTCGTATTCTTTTAACTATGTACTAATTAAAAGAAATCGATAGTGATTTAAGATAATTACGTGACCTCGTAGCAAATTATCGTTTTCACATTTTATAAAAACTTCAATTTGACACGCTGGATACGTCCCTCTTCAATACCTTCAACCCTTGTTTACTCCTTATAATAAGATAGCATGGTAGATAGATTATTTTTTTATATAAATCTACATTTTACAGCGCCCTCTATCTCTAAGGGTTTTCAGGGAGCTTCTTGCATTACTTTAAGAAGTTTCTTCCTCCAGGTTCATACAGATGGCTGAGGAGCGGTCTCGTCCAGCGTTTGAGTCCATCCAGAGCCTGGTGAATGCAGTAGGCAGCGTGGCTATGATGCTGGAGAGCACCTTCTTCGCTATGACCAGTTCTTTTAGGGCTGTTTTGGGTATGTACCATAATTACAGTTATGCAGTGTAGAGTAAAATGATTTTGTGGAAACGAAAATATGAACTATTTGCACTAATACCTAGTAAACAAAAGTTCGTTGATTTCAGTCCTTCATAAAATTATTGATAACAATGTTGTGTCTCATTACTTGTTTACATATAATAGACAGACAATAATACCTACCTTTTCACATGATCACTCTTCGATCGATCCTAGTATTGCTAGGCTGAAAGTTCCAATTCGAAAAATGGAAGAGATCTCGATCGCGGTCCGCCATGTGATTGGTTGTGGGATTGGGAATACTCTCGACCAATGATGGGCGAGAATGTGATCGAGCTTACTGCAAAAATTCGTATTGACAGTTACTGAATAGCCTAGTCAAAGTCGAAGACAAAATCATTTATTTCAATTAGACCAAGAAGGCACTATTGGACGGCAAAACAAAATATTTAAACATTAAAGAAAAAATGACAGTCTGTCGGTCAGTCCTCTAGTGAAGCTATTTAGGGCTAAGCCTAACTAGTTCAGTGGTTCATGATACAATATCACCTCTCTCCACACACAGGGGTGGCAGAAAACGTCGGTAGACTGCGATCGCTCTTTGCACAGTTCTGGTCCACCTTCGCAGTGGTACGGACCCTGAACTGGATCATTAGGAAGCTGATGGTCCTCATTGGAATCAGGACTGAGAATGAATTCCAGGTAAGATTGTAAAACCATTGGATATTGATCTATATTTCCCAGGTGCTTAGGTTTAATCTATGGTGTTACTGTCTTTCTTTTAGCTTTTATCTCAGGTTTTAGCTCCTCTCTTGACTTCCGAGCCGAAAATGAATCTTCATATTACTCTAATGAATTTAAGTTGATATTTTATCAACATAAATTCATGTGTCAGTGCCAAAGGTTAGACTGTTAATAATTTTATTTACTTACGCATGACATAATGTTTCTATTTACTCTGCCACTTAGATCTTTGAATTTTATGAAATACTTACCTACCTACTTTTTTGAGGGGGGAAAATCATCCAATGACTTCTCCAGCCTTAGACGAGGGAAGATAGTGTCAGATACTTACTGACTAAAAACAACCCCGTTGTTACTCCTACGTCGAGCTGGAGCTACGGTATTCCGCAAGGTCATCTGCAGCCATAATTATATAGTGTGTTTTTTGCTCAAAAAAGTTGTATATTAATTAATTTCCTGACGGAAACGATACCAGTAAGAGATAGATAAATAGTGCCAAGATACAGTAGTGCGTTATATTTGATGATAAAAATGTTAATACGTATTTGATAATGAGGTGATAAGCATTATAATTAGGTATATCAGTGTGGGGTACATGGGTATATACAATCGAGATAACAAAACATTCTAAGTATGTAACGTCAAAATTGACAAACTAGGCAAATATCTAGGGCGCCAGGTTACAAAGGGGCGCCGTGATGCCGCGAAACGCGCGTGCTCATAGAGTAATGGCAGCGCCAAAAATTTAGAGGCGCCTATGTGGTACTGGCCTAGAGCGCTCTCCTCCCTAGGAGGATTAAACATCCTCCTAGCGCATTATTATACCAATATCATTTCATTACACACGTTTTATGTAAGTAATCCTATAATACTGGAAAACACACCATCAATAATGTTTATCCCGATATTAGCCTTATCAGATTGACAATGGATGTGCGATAATAATGGAAATTTGTTTCGTTTCTAATCTAACGTCGCCGTCGCAAAACTTGATCTTTGATCTTCACTTAACATGTCATACTAGGTATATCACTACATAGTATAAAACAAAGTCACTATCCGCTGTCTGTCTGTCCTTATGTATGCTTAGATCTTTAAAACTACGCAACGGATTTTGATGCGGTTTTGATGATTTTTTTAAAAAACCTAGTAATACTTTGCCCTTGCGACCACTCGGCCAACGAGGCAGTAAATCTATGAAAGACGTATTTTTGTTAGATTGAAATAGCTTGTTTCACTAGTGTTTATACAATACGTTGGTAATCAACAGATATAGTCTGATACTATTATCTATACGAGTCACGCGAATGACAATATCTCATTGTTTTATTATTTTTTTAATACGTCATTCATATCTTCATAGATAAGAGAGGTATACTATTCACGTGTGCGTATGAATATGTAATACCTAGCGAAAATATAATATATCTAACACTTTGTATTTGCTTTTGTACAAGATTTATCTGAGAATACTTTGTATTAGTATTTTACTAGCGACCCGCCCCGGCTTCGCACGGGTGCAATATACATGTATTATACATAAACCTACCGTAAGAATGACTATATCTTTAAAAAAACCGCATCAAAATCCGTTGCGTAGTTTTAAAGATCTAAGCATACATAGGCACTACTACATACTATGTAGTGATATGCACTCATGTACAACATTGACATGAGACTCACACAGTGACTTGTGTGAGTCCAAACTCGTAATATGGACTGAAAAACGTGGGTGTTAGGGGTCATCCATAAATTACGTCACACGAATTTCATGATTGTTTTTACCCTCCTTCCGTCCTTGTCACAGCTAGTCACAGTTGTGAGACCCCCCCCCTTAGTGTGACGTCATATTTTGCAGAATTACGTATGTATAAAAACAGCGGTTCCGAAATCAGTTTTATTTCTATTTAAATAACTTCAAAAAAATATTAATACCAAATCAAACAAAATAAAAAACATTAATACAATTGTACCTATTTCATGTTTAATAATACTTTTTGTAATGTGACATCACAAAGTTTGGGATCCCTCCCTCCCACTTGTCACACAATGTCACACTTCGTCGGCCCCTTATATTGAAACTAGCTACTTCCGCGCGGTTTCACACGCTCTGCTTAGCTCCTATCAGTCGTAGCGTGATGTTTTATAGCCTATAGCCATCCTCGATAAATGCGCTATCCAACACAAAAATAATTATTCAAATCAGACTTGTAGTTACGGAGATTAGCGCGTTCTACTAACCAAAGGCCTCATCTCACACGAAGAAGGTTTGAGCATTAATCATCACTTGCTCAAGCACAGGTTTCCTCACGATGTTTTGCTTCAGCGTTTGTCAATGGTGTCTTAATCTAAGGGCCGAAACACATAATCGCGTTGCGTCGCCGCAACGCTAAAATCGGCAGTTTGCGTTGCGGTGTTGTGGCGTCATGAAAAAGAGCGCTTTATTGTCGTTCAGTAGGGTAACCAGTTCGTCGTGAGTTTTTATTGTGGATAGACATGTCTCTGCCATGGACCATCGTGAAAAACTTATTGCTTATTTGTTATTAAGAAGACATTACTCTTTTTTTTTTTAAGGGGGGAAAATCATCGAATGACTGCTCCCGCCTGGGTGAGGCGGAAGGGAGTGTCAGAGTCTTACTGACTAAAAACCACCCCGTTCCTTCTCCTGCACGTCGAGCCGGAGCCCCGGTTACCCGTTAGGTTCTCCGCGACAAGACATTACTCTGCTATGCTGGAACGAGCGCTGCGTTGCGGCGCCGCGCCGCTTAAATCGGCAGTGACGCTATTGTAGTTTCTAACGGCGCGGCGCCGCAAGGCCATTATGAGTTTTGGCCATTAAATAGTACATATCACTCGAGAAAAGTTACATTAGTACTTGTTGTTAGTAAGTAGCTTTCGAAGCTGCACCCTCATGCACGAAGCACGACATGCAGCCACTACGACATTTTTTACTCTACGTTTATCACTATCACCACTTGTCTACATAACATCTTTTTTCTCACCAGGCGTGGGCCGAAGCTGTGGCATCAACACAGCAAAACGGTCTCCCTGCCCAGGGACCTGAGGGTATCCGCTACTCCGGATGGCCAGTGATCATGTTCTTCGCCGTTGTGGCAGCCGCACCATACATCGTGCTGAAGATGATGACCAGACTTAACACTACTATACAGGAGAATTGTACGTATAAGTTTTTATATAGTCCTCAATATCTGTCTGCCTCATTGGTCGACTGGTCGCAAGTACGACTGCCGGGCAAGGGGTCTCGGGTTCGATTCCCGGATCGGACAAAGTATTACTGGTTTTTTTTAAATCTCAGTAGTAGCACGAAGTCTGGAAATGTGCCCGGTTTATGGCAATAGGTTCACCCCCTATTACATGAGACTCTTAACATAAATAGTGAAAAGTGGGTGTTACATTGTACAATGGCATTAACTGCCGTAATCTGTCTGTTCAATGGTCTATTATAAAAGGAAGCAGCTTAAAAATAGCAGACTATAATAATTACAAAGTGAGAAAAAAGATAAAATCGTTAAAAACAAAAAATTAAACTAATGTAATATTCTTACAGTGGCTGACCCAGCAACGTGGCAGAATCCCCCAAAAGCGGTCGCCAATTACACCTTTACGGCCACATCTCCTCAGGAGCTCACCATCCATGAGAACCAGATCTTCCAAGTGGCTCCCATGCAGCTTCAACAGCATTTAATGCAATCTGGATGGCTCATGGCTACCACAGACGGGAAGACCGCTGGTCTAGTACCAGTAAATTACTTTAGAATCATCACACCAGCCCCAACTGAACAAAACCAAGGAAACAACACTCAAAATATTGCCCCTCCTCCCGGTTTACAGAAAAAGACAACCTAAATTCTTTCATAGAATAAAGGACTGTCGTTTTTGCGCTGTGTAGGTGGCAGCACTGGTGAGTTAGGTCTTATGATAGTAACTGTTTAATACTAATTAATTATGCCTGACGAATCATAAAGAGTTTATGGGATAATAAAGAGAGTGTCAGAGAGAATGAGTCAATAGAGTAACGTTAAAATAACCAAGCGTCTGGTCTCTGGTGAGTGCCCACTGTCCACCACACTGCCCGGGGTACCGGGCATTTTGCACTCCACGTAACCCTTAACTACTTGAAAAAAGGTACTTGATAAAAGAAGAATGACATAAAACTACAGGCTCTAAAGTCTAACTCGCCACTAGCGCCACTACCAGTTATAAAAATACGATAGTCTGTTTAGGTGTTACGTTTTTTAAATTACCGTAATTGTAATTTTAGTTATTTTTCCAAAAATAATGACTGCCGACTCCAGCCTTTGATTTGCTATGTCCTGCAAATATTTTTTAACAAAAATATCTGACGTACGAATAATTTACGAATGTTTTGAATGAATACTTCGATGTAAATGCAAATACCAACATTATCGTTACTGAAATAAGGTTTAAAATAAGTTAACGTAGCGTAGTCTATGAATTTGTCAAGCAATATCAATATTATGATCCTTCAAATAAAAGATCAGTCAAAAGTACATCAACTATTGTGTAATGTTGCAAACATTGCATATGAAAGCGCACTGTCAATAAGTGATCTTTATTTTAAACCTTATATTCATGTACTCAATGTACATACTTGCTTGATTTAAAAAAAAATCAAGTAACAGTAATTATTTATGTACGGGTTTTTTAAATAAATGTATGGAGTGAGACCTAAGTAATACTCGACTTGACGTGGAATTGTAAGAAGACTGTAATTGTGTGCTGATTCGGCCTTTAGCCAGTTCGACTGGATTTTGGATAGATATTTAGGAAGGGATTAAAAGAAAGTGGTAAATTATTAACATAATGCAATTATGTAGCTAAAAAAGATTTATTTAATTAACAATGTCTTAATGGTTTTATGTGTCAGTCCCTTGCGCTAACGTTTTGCGCAACTTCATTTGTTATGCGCAAATATATTGTGTTAAGCGACTTCTGTTCGCCAATTATGCATTTAAATTTTTTATTAAACCAGTGGGCATAAAAGTTAAGCCACCATTTTTAACAACAGCAATAAAATTATATTATTAAATAATATATTTTTGTCGTTTATGATTTCATTCATACCTTGCAACAGATTTGATAGGAGACCTGTTTTTTATGTCCACAAGTTTATTTTAATCGATATGAATGTTCGAACTACATTTTGAAAACAATTACCTTCGATCAACAATAACAACTAGATATCGGGTCGGCGCAAGAAAATCGTCTCGACAAATAAGAGCTCACTTGAGAAGTGAGCTCTTATTTTGTTTAGTATGCTCCAAACACGGCCAACGTAATCACGTCTCACGACGCTGCAGTGTGTAATTGCAAGTTGCAAAAATAATGACCGAAAAAGCAGTATAACGGCCGGAGTGTCTTACTTTCGATAAGTACACAAAGTATAAGTTATATTTTAAGCTTTTAAATTAGTAAATAATATCAAATTAGACAAAATTACCAATTATAAACCATCGCCACCAATGTTTGTGCGTGTGTTGGCGATTCCTTGGCCAAGCCTCACCAACACGCGCACAAACATTTGTTTAAACAGAACAGTGGATGCATGGAGTCGATTTGTATTGTAAAACAAATTTGTGTTGTAACCTGATTGGAAAAGAGTACCTAACCTATGGAGTTTGTTGCTCGTTCTTCTCCATAGGAATCTACACCTTGGAATGAGCAAATAGCTTCACTTTTAAATTTATATTGTTGACGTTCTAAAGTGCCTTCCTGGTCTAACTGAAATAAATGATTTTGACTTAGACTTTTAATGACAAAGTAAATAAACATATGATACACAAAAACGTACCGCTAATAAAAATAAGTGATGTATACTAAGATCCCGAAAATAAAATTATTTTAGTGTTCAATGCGACTCCATACATACCTCCTGTAGCGAAATTCAAAATTCGAAGAAGCATACCGAAACAAAACAAAACGATATAGATCACAAGGCAATAACGGAAAAGTTATCTTTATTTGTTCTATCTTAAGGTTGAATTCAAACTAGATATTGTATAACTTATGTCTTTTAATTTCTACATGACAGGAGTAAGAAAATGCTTTTCTCGTCTTATGTGACGAATGGTCGTAAGTATTAGATCATATTTTGACGATTTATGACTTTATTATTAGGTGCCATGGTTGTTATTAGGTTGAACTTAAAACCATTTTAAAACATTTTTCTCTGTTTGTTATTTTTTTACTATTATTATTCACACGGACAGAACTGGAGCTTGATTTTGTACGTAACCCTTTATCTAGTTGCTATTGTTGATCGAAGACAATTACAGAGCGAAATAAATCAAAATCGGTCATAAATGAATGAAGCTATGATTTAATATCGGACTCTTTTCAAAATGATTTTTTAAAATCAAAAAGGGTGTCGATAAAATGTGATGTGTGTCACAAAAATATAATGTTACCTGTGATTTAATTTGAACGAAACGATTATGCGAAAAACCTTACTTTAAAAGAGGGTAGGCAGTGTTAGTAAATTTTTATGATTTTTAAAGGTTTTAAGGACATTGTACGTTTCATTAATTTTTACGTAATTTTTATTTATTTGTCTATTCTCTAATGATTGAAGTTTGATTCATTCCAAGTTGGATTTCGTTTCACAATGAATTTTAGGGCCCTTTTTCTTTAAGACATGATAGTTTTACTTGTACGATTAGTTGCGCAATCGTGGTTTTTAGATTTTAGGTGAGTGATCGTAATGATATCATTATTATCGATAGAGCCATATTATGGCTTGGTTTGTTGCCACATAACTTAATAGTTGGTACCTATAAACATAACACAGTTGAGCACGATTCAGTTGACTACAACCACTTGGTTGCACAACCTGGTCGTACGACCAGTGTCTTAAAGAAATTAGGCTCTAAAATGTCCCTGATAATCTAGTTTTATGAAAATTTTGAATATGTCTAGATGTAAGTTTAGAATAAGTAGGTGTCTATACTATATTTCTATGCATTTTACCTTTACACAGCTTTTGTATTATTCGGTTCAATGGAATGGTGTAGGTGCAATTAATTGGTTTAGTTTTTTAAGGAAATTCATTGGTTCTTTGTGGTCTTAAATAATATTTTTTGCATATCAGAGGTCTATTATAGTAATAATGTTTACCTTACTGATGGAATTTTAGACAAATAGCGTCATGTCTTTTGGTCAGTACAATTTCTGGTGATCAAGCTTTACTTGTCTAGACGTAGCCAATACATTGTCGTGTCAAATTATATCGAGGTGTTTGTCTGTCACACATATCAAACTATGCAGTGTGTATGTAAGATTAAGGGACCTATTTCATGGGACAATCAGTCGCGCATCCAAGGTCTAGACTTACAGAGACATCGGAAATCAATACTAACAGTCGAGTTGATTTGGTCGCTGGCAACCAGTTAATTGCGAGACCAAGTTGGTACCATTACCAATTGAAGTAGGTACCTACCCTTCGTACAACTGTATACCTACATTTTCTTGGTCGTGCGATCTGGCTGCTTACTCTTGAAACCAATCTGAATGTCAAAGCAATTTCAATTCAATAAAATCTCAATAATTATTCAATGTCAAAACTAAACAACCCATATCGTAGCCGTTAAAATAGCATTCAGTGTATGGAATATAAATCCAAAGTCAATATCATCTAGTTCATTTAATGTCCACGCAATACGGATGCAATAGGCGCTAGTGTTGCTACTCAAGAGTAAGCCCCCTGGTCGCCTGACTATGGTGTCCATGTCCAATGAAATAGGGCTCAAAAATGCTATGTTAATATTGGCTCCTTTCAGACCAAAATAAATAAAATATGACCAATTATAATGATATATTATTTTAATGATTTCATACTAGTCAATAAACGTTTTTGTAAATATTCATATTTATTTGATTTCAGAATATACTTGGGTTGCTGTTTTATTATTTTAGTTTACAATATTACCGTGTAATGTCAGAAATATGATATTTTATTGTATGATCAGTTATTTTGTCCAGGTTAAGTTTTTCTTATTTATTACGTTTTGCAGAATGCTCTTGAAGAATGAGTCTTGAATCTATTGTGGTTCGTGCCTAAGTGTAACTGTGCCAAGTAAATTGGCTCTAGCACCTATTTCTATAGTAATAAGGTTACCTTTTGCAAAATTGTGCAGAAAGTGCAACTACTAACAAAATATTTTGATCAGACCTAAAATACATAACAATTATTATATCCATATTTGTAAGCTCTCTTATAAATTACCTTCATTATTGTATTTAATCATCGTCATCTATGTCTACTTATATATTTTATAATGTCAATATTGAATATTAATATCAGTGAACTTAATATAAAATTGGGATGGACTGATTCTTAGTGAGTAAAAAGTAGTGAAATTATGAAATTTGTTTTATTTTACTACTGCATTCATAATCTTACCTTCATTTTTCTTCCAAGTTTCACTTCATAATGGATAATCCCAGCTGGGGTACGATTCGGTCGAGACATGGTAATACGAGTGTAGTGTAAGGCTAAGATTTCTCTCGCACCCGCCGCGGTGCGGGTCCGCAGTCTTTGTAAAATACAAATATGGGTTGTATGATGCGGATTTTTTTAAGGGGGGAAAATCATCGAGTGACTGCTCCCGCCTGGGTGAGGCGGAAGAGAGTGTCAGACTCTTACTAACTAAAAACCACCCCGTTCCTTCTCCTGCACGTCGAGCCGGAGCCCCGGTTACCCGTTAGATTCTCCGCGACTCCGAATCGGCAACAGCTCTTTTGGGCCCCATCTGTGGTGGTCTGACGGCTCTTTGAGGCGCGCGCGGAACGCGACGCGCCGTACGCTCGGGTCTGTTTCTGGTCGGACGGGGAGCCCACCCGCAGTCCCGCGCTTACTTGTATGATGCGGTTGCGATTGTTTTTGCGGCTCCCGCTGCACCGGCGGGCGCGGCCGCGGTCCCGCATCCGCCGTGGCTAGCACCCGCGAGTTTTGCGATTGGTTGGCGGGTGATCGCAATGAGACGGATCTAGAACTAAACTGATTGTGTAACTGCCCGCCCGTTTTGCGCAACAACTGCGCTCGCAGCGCAGAAAACTGCGGTCTCGTCAGCTTTTAAAATTCCGCCTCCATTCCGCACCGCGGTGGGCGCGGGGGAATATCGCCCGAGACACCTTAGCCTGAATGTTTCAGGTTTCGAAAGAGATTTAAGTAGAGTAATAGTCTCGGAGTCGCGGAGAACCTAACGGGTAAGTAAGAGTCCTTCGATGATTTTCCCCCTCAAAAAAAAGTCTAGTAATAGTCGAAGTTGGTAGACGGAAAATGTAGGTCCTAATAGCCGAGGCCTAGTTACGTTTGGGGAAAATGGGATAAAATTAAGTTTCAGGATATTTAAAATATTCTGACATCACTGAAAATGAAAGTCGTGCTTAATTTTTTTTATGGTGTTTATTGTAAAGTCATATTTCTAGTTTACAAGTAGGGTTCTGGGAATTCAAAGGTAACTTCGCGTCCCGTAAGCTTCTTGTATACCGATTGGAAAGTGTCCACCTGTGAACAAACAAAATTCTATATTAATACTTCATTCACAACATTGATTTTATCTAGTTAATTTCAAACAACAATATTTTAAAGTTTATTGTGACATATTACTTTATATCCTAAAATGATAAGAGTGTTTATAATCACATCTCAAATTGTTTACAATAAAAATTAAATCACGATTTTTTTACCAAATTTTGTATATGGTGCAAAAAGTATTTGTTATCGAAAGCATAGAGCAAGGCCTCTCAAGGCTCTCCTTAATTCCTGAATCCCCAACGATCCTCACTAATCCCCAAAAGGCCGGTAACGCACTTGTAACGCCTTTGGTGTTCCAAGTGTCCATGGGCGACTCCGATTGCTTACCATCAGGTGATCCGTCTGCTGGTTCACCGGATTACGCCATAAAAAAAATACTTTTATTTCACAAAAATTTTAGTGAAGTATTGTAAACAAATACTTATCAGATTTGCAAATGCAACCATCTTGCATAAAATCTGGAATCTCTCTTTTGAAAATGGTCATAACATACCTTATGTTCAATAGTGGTCTGCTGGTTTTTGTCGAGGTGGACTTTGATGAGCTGAGAGCCGTCCAGCTTGATCCGGATGCGCTTGCCAACAATCTCTGCGGGGAACACGAGGTCCTCCAAGATGGCGTCGTATACTGACGTCAATGTCCTGGAAAGGGGATAAAAGTTAGTTGAATAAAATATTTTGTTTTTATTTTTATAAACAAGTTTAGCAGGAGTTTGGTAAATATCTATGGTTTGTGTAATATTTGTAATAAACTAATGTAGATAATGGCTTCAATAGTAAATATTAAACAATCATTTCATTTAAACATTTTATCAATGTTTAATAATATTCAAGTAACTAGAAGTGCCTTGTGATCTACAATATTATTAAGGATGTTATTATGGTGGCAGTGGCTCAGGATAGCAGTTTCTCCAACAGATGATATATTTTTTTTTTAAAACATTGCCCTACTCTAGCATTTTCTCCTGTGTCGTGGGTGCGTTTACAAACATACAAGTTTACATACACAATGACACCCAGACCCGAAAAAACAATTTGTGGATCACACAAAGTGTTGTTCCGTGCGGGAATCGAACCCACGACACGTTGCACGGCAGCCGGTTGCCCAGCCACCGCACCAACCATGCAGTCATCCTTTGCAGTGCAGTCGTCATATGTAGGTTCCCACATAGATTGTCTGTCCGAGGTACTCAAACTTCCCATTATGATTATCTTGATGTTCATTAATACAACTTGAGGTAATCTTATTTTCAAATATTGTACCTGGATCTGGGCCTCTTCTGTTTGTTGGCTACACGGGTCTTGTGGCTGGGTTTGGGCAGAATCTTGCGGTCTCCGATGAACACAACGTGTTTACCGCTGAATTTCTTTTCCAATTCACGCACCAGCCTGATCTGGATCTTCTGGAAAGCCTTCAGCTTGGGCATAGGCACGTAGATGATGATTGACTGGAAAAATAAAACAATATTATAAATTTGATAGCAGTTATGAAATGTGATAATAAGTGTATAGAGATCTTTATTGCTTTGTTTTAAAATATATCAATCGCAGGCAATACACTTAACCACAGCTTTGTCTTTGGGTAACGGGTAATAAACAAAACATGAGAAAGTCTCCTGACACAAAATTTACAGAACAACCATAACATTAAAACATGTGTTTGTATTTGGATTACATTACAATTGTATTTAGAGGTGACATTTTGACAGCTAGGCTTACAGTATAATAGTATTGCATGCATATTTCTCAGGATGTATCACTAAACTATATGTAGTGTCACCTTCATCAAACTGTGACTTAAAAAAATACCAAAAGGACAACTAGCAAGGAGTTATGATAGGGATTTTATTGGTTGATTACACTATAATATAATCATTAAGGTTCAATATCTGAAGTAATTAGTTGTTATGTTTAAGTTAATACAGTATTTAGTACCTACAATGCATGTAAAAAAAATGCATTGTTGGCAGCCTGTCTTTATTATCATTGCTTATATTTTTTTAAATTTTAATTGACAGCTAAGAGTTTATACAACACCTAAAAGTCATATAGGAGATCAGGACACATTGAAAAACTGCACATGGAGGTTAGGACTTTGAATATATCTTTGTATGTGGGTAATACATCAAAATAACGACCAAGGAGACTAGATATATTTGTGCTATGGAGTTTTAGATTAAAATGTTCTTACCTTCTTGTTGTGAAGTTCTACTTCTTTCGCTTTTGTTATATACAACTCCCTTAGTTGAGCCTTCAGGTCAGAGTTGGTCTCCAACTCCACCAGGGCCTGTGAGATCGATGTCTCGAAGACATCGGGCTCAGCGGCGCTCGCTTTGATGATTTTAGTACTCATCTGCAACGTACAATCACCAGTTCAATACAACACTCGCAATTTTTAGGTTAGGTAACTTAACTTCACGATTTTAACTTTTTCCAACAATCTTTCACTTCTAATCACACCGACATCAACACATGCACCTTAAATTTAGGCGTTTTGTATTACTTTAGCAATAATCTTTTCAAAATCGCACTTTTAGAAACCAAAACAACGTTGGACACCGAGGGAACGGATTTGTCACCACAAAATATCTAAGTAATCTTTACCGTCAACAATGAATTATTGGCCTAAGCAAAATACAGGATTAATATGGAAATAGAAACACTTATTATTTGTCTTACAAAACGCTTAAATATATAAAATTGATCTAAAAATTCGTAAGGACAGCTACCTTGAGAACTACACGGGAGAGAAAGAGCAAGAGCATAGACTATTTAGAGATACCAGAAAGAGATTTTTTTTTAATAATTTTATTCGTGACTATAGATACAAGTCTTTCAGTCAAACATTGAACCGAATTTCAATAAATTAAGTCCAGTGGTTAATAAAATTAGTATTCAGCCTCTTTGTGAACCTTTATGTAATATCATGATAATAAAAATAAAATTTTCAATAATCCTCTGGCATTAAAACTCACTTGTCAAAAATATGTCAGATAATATAGAAAGGTATTATTTTGTTTACGTCTGTTTGTTTTGTTAGAAATTGACGTGATTAATTTATGGAGATAGTAAAAAGGATTGAAAGTAGCATAGCGTCGGTGCGCCTGCGAAAACTGATATGTGCAAATACTTAGTTTTTTTTCTTAGCTAGATGTCCTTCAAATCGGATAGCGCATCGATTACAAAAACAAATACCTATGTGTTATTTCCCTCTAGAAATCGATTAGACCAATCTTATATGTGCACTTTCTGGCCATGACAAATTGGTTATATGTTCGATTGGTTACGGGTTATTTGACATAAAACGCACATGTCAGAAATTGCAGCATCACTTAGATAGTTTGGCAGGTTGAATAACAACAGTTTTTGTTTAAATTTTTTACCGTTTTCTCAGATAAATCTGATATGTGCACCAAAATGGAAAATAAAATTATTGAGGATGAACAGTATAATTATGTTATCATTTTCACTTTTATCTCAGTTTTTTTATCATAATTTTTGCCATCATACTACATTTTTTTAATTTATTGCTAAGTCCATCAACCTTTCAGTGCAAGTGTAAAAAATAGTTTATTGTCTCCCCCTGAAAACTTGACTAAATGTACATAACAGTTTTGGCAAGCGCACCCACAATAGGTGATATTTCGTTTCTTTCTAACCCACCACTTCCCTAAAACCGGGGCTGGAAGTTTGTATGGAACATTTCGTAATTTTCAAGAAACCTAAAATTAGTATCATATTAAACATCGAGCACCAATTCCTTTTTTATCTTTTGTTAATCTGCCCTCAATGCTTTAACAGTGTGCGAGCGAAACCGTGGGCTTCTGCCCACGGTTTCGCTAGTCCATGAATTATTGCAGTATTCAAAATATTATTGCATCAAAAAATATAACTTCGAACAGATTCGAACATAAAGGATCCAAACCAACCTTCTTTTTTCAGTCGATTAGAATAAATAGTACATTAAAGTGTAGGCAAGTGTTAGTTCAATAAATAATAAAAATATTATTTCATTTTTAATTTTTGTAAATTAAACTTAAAAAATTAACTTGCTTGTGCAAGTAAGTTATTTTTGTCAATTTTTCCCTTTATGAGACCCGTGAGAAGGGAATATTCTAAAATAAATTGGCAACACTACAACTGATAAAATATGGCGGCAACGGGCAAAGTGATTTTTAATAAAATTACTTAGCGATGGATAAGTGTTCTGTTTAGTACAAAAAGTACTTAGTAACCATTATTTATAATTTTAGTACAATTTCATGGAGCAAGTGGCCATCTTTGCAGTGTAGGTACTTTTTTTGTTTATTAATTTTGTAGCGTTTGCACACATTTATCGACTCAATTTATTAATGAAAATGGTTCGGCCCAAAATAATGATTAATTAAAACAATGAATAATATATATATATATAAAAATTAATCCCTTTTTCCCTTGGTCATTCTTGTTGTATTTTTTAACCGACTTCAAATAAAGGAGGAGTTCTCAATTCTACCGTAAATATGCTTTTTTTGTTAGGAGATGGTTCTTAAGACTTAAAATACTGAAAATCCTATGCGAATGGGAGAAAACGGGATTCAAGTCGCGGGCAGAACCTAGTTTATAATAAAACATTTATTTCACGAACACAAGAATAATGTTTTTGACAGTATTTATTATTGACAAGTGACCAGGGTTGCCAATCTGTGGGGAATTCCCCAAACTGCGGGGAATCTCAAGTTGGTTGGGGATTTATTGGGGATTGGCATTATGTGGGGAAAATGCGGGGATTTTGACATCTTTTGGCATTTGACACAAATTGGAAAATATTTCATCGTTTATTATCGATAACAACATTTTTTTAAATCATAAAGCATGAAAGCTGGACAGAATATGGAAGATTTGAAAAAATATGAAAATCGAGGTACATTTTGCAGCTATTGCAGATTTCTATAAGACATGCTAAGAATTTTATATGGAATTCACGTCGGACATTATTAAGATATTTGATTTCCGAGATTCTTTATTTTCTATTATATCTGTTTCAAATTCATTAGAAGCTCAACAGTTTCAAATTAAAACAATCAATATTATTTAAATAATTGATTATAGTTTTATTTTATAAAAAAACTTTTGAGGGGAATTTGTGGGGAATCAGCGGATTTTTATTCCCCAATTTGGGGAATTCGATCAGGAATTTTGGGGATTTTGATGAATTAGCATTGGCAACCCTGCAAGTGACATTTCTAGTGTCGCCCGGTATTTTGTCAAAACGAGAACAAAACCGAAACAGAATCAAAATTATTGAATAATATTATTGAATTACTAAATATCGTCAAGAAAAAACGTATCATAATACCTATAACATATCATTGCTTTCATTTGAGATATACAGATACATCTGTAACAGACATTTTATCGTTATTTAATTAAATAACGTCTATTACTGCCTGAAGTTTGATCGTGTAATGTAAACAATGATGTATAATGGTTTTTCAGCGCCAATAACATTGTATACTTAATACTATCTAAACAGACCTTGAATAGTTCGGAACTTGTGTTGTCGAGCGCTGAATAAATATGAAGCCCACTGTATATGAGTAAGTATCTTTGAATGAAGCTTTTTGCTATTTTATTTAAAAATATTGTTTTTATTTTTTGAACTACAGAGAATTGTGACTAAGTACTTATAAAAATCATGCTATAATTACAAGTCTATGACTCACCAATCATTAAAATATTTTTAAGGAAATACCTAGTTGTTAAGTATAATTATTAATATCAATATTTTTTTTAGACCAAATAATTTAACATTGTTTATCTGCTCCGCTGTTTATTCCTTGGTGGAATTACAGTGTGACAGTCAAGTCAAAAGTCAAAATCATTTATTTCAATTAGACCAGGAAGGCTCTTTTGAACATCAATATAAAAAAAAAATTAAAAGTGAAGCTATTTGCTTATGCAGTATATTAAGTATTGGTTTATAATACAAAATTATATTTTATAGTTGGATAACTATCTATATTTACAAATTTATTGAGGCATTCAAAACACAACTTATTTTGCTGGCATTAAGATTGAAAATGTTTTAAAAGGTGGTTTGACTAGGGTACAAGAATAAGTCACATTGTACGACAAGTTGATTCAAAATAGAAATTACTAAGTCATTATTGTTGGCACTGACTATTCACATGGGTTACCTCTATATAAGAGGTTTTGCCGTAATCCCCACACTTGGCCAGTGGGTTTAGAGATTGGAGTTTAAAAGGTTCAGGTTTATCACAGACTTTTACTGTCAGGTCTTTGTCAAATGCATGGTCCCTTAGTCATCTCTTATGTTACCTGCAAAGGTTTTTAGTCAGTAAGAGTCTGACACTCTTTGTCCGCCTGGGTGAGGCAGGAGAAGCCATTCAATTATTTTCCCCCCTTAAAAAATATGGTACGTTTAAAAAGGTTGATTTAGTATATTTTACGTCATGTGTGAGAAGAGGATTTGCTCAGCAGTGATGATGATGATTTTTTCTATGGAATAGCAGGAAAACGAGCTGATGGGTCACCTGATGGTATATAAAATATATATTATTATATGGTATATATAATAAATATATGGAATATCTGATTAATATATAAAATAAATTAATCATGTGAGTGTATGAGTATATTTTATGCTGTGGTCACCACACCTTTCGGAATTTTAGGTTCTTACATTTATTTCTCTAGTCATAAATATCAAATCATGTTATTATAAGATAATATTAAATGTTTCAATTGAGATGGGAGATGTTGTCAGCATTTTGTCTTGCTCATTCTTACAAATATTATCTAGATGTACATAAACTAAATGTTTTTGTCTATTTATCTGGTTTAGTAGTGACTGTTATTTACAGTTTTTCGGCTTTTACCTGATCTATGGATCACATTTGAAATCTCGTGCTAGATAGTCGTGAATGCGACACACTTACGACACACACTTAGACACGCGCGTATGTAAGAATAAAAATACCTATATTATCAAGATTTTAAAATACGGAAGAAGAATTCTAGTGTTTTTGTGCAGGAATCAAATTCGTGACGTGTTGCGTAGCAGCCGGCTGGTGCCACAGAAATATGAAAAACTTCTTTATTATATCTAAGACTGGTGTTCTTCTGCCTTATCATTCAGGGAGTAAAAACATAATATTTAAACTCTGATGAAATGTCTCTTTTGAATATTTTGTAGTAAAAAATTTTTTATATGTTGTAAATATTCAGACTGATGGATAGAATCGTAAGAAGTCGACTAACTAATTGATGTTACTTGACTGCAATTAAAAATTAACTACCGTGTGAAACAAATGACGCATCAGATACACGTACCTATTATAAGCATCGATATTATTACGATCAGACAACTTAGTAAGTACGAGTTTTTTTTAAGGGGGATAATCATCGAATGACTGCTCCCGCCTGGGTGAGGGGGGAGTCTGACACTCCCTGTCAGACTCTTACTGACTAAAAACTACCCCGTTCCTTCTCCTGCGCTTCGAGCCGGAGCCCCGGTAACCCGTTAGGTCCTCCGCGACGCCATTTCGGCTCTCTGATTGGCCAGGCACAATGAACCAACCAATCAGTGCGCCTAACTCGCTCCCGTTTCGATTAATTACCTACCTACTGTACAAACTCGTACTAAGGCCTCTGTTTCGCTTACGAGTATATTTTGTTAGATTTTCTTTGCTGTTTCATTATATTGTTGCCGTCAAATCTCGATTATATCACAATGCTGACGGTTTACAATCTACGTTGTATT